ATAAACTGTCCAGTGTCATGCAACTCGACAGGTTAAGAGTGTCATATAGGTATAATTCTGAGATTTGCTGGAGGTTTTTCAAGGCCGTCAAGCATTTCAAAAAACGTAGCAGTCTGACATGCCTCGTTGCCCTGTGGGCCATTGAGGATTTTTGGTAAATTGGTAACTTCGCTTCTTATATAATATTCATTCCCGCGCAATAACAGCCCGACCACCGCCTGTTCGCCTGGTGCTTTTCATGGACTGAGAATATAACTTTCTTCATAAATTCTCTTCAACAGACATCCCGGTTCTAGGTTCGTTTAAATGATTATTTCCCGAATCCCGCTCCTCAAAATCGCCGATTCTCGTGTCCCGTTCATAATAGGAATCCCGCATCTCGCTTCCTTCTTACGTTAAATTCCCAGACCCCGGGCTATAAAAGAGTCCAATCTCGGATCCCGAAAATCTATTGGGGACCCTCTTCTCCCTTCTCTCATTAATTAGTTGTAATTTGGTTTTTAAGTTTATGTTTCCGATTGTTAATTTCATAACACACGAAAAACGAAGGTAATTTTCGAGTCATAATTTAGTTCCTTCTTTGGAAAAACTTGTGTTATTTTTAAAAGTTCTCCGAAGAAGGTGCTTAAAACTAATTGCAGGCTCGTGGTACTGTGAGGTGGAATAAATTTGGAGAAAATGGAAGGGGGTGTTGGATGGGTAGAAGGCCGTCAAAACTAAAACTTAACGATCAGACCCTGGGTAAGGGCATATAGCGACAATAATGCGTCCATCAATGGTCGGTGGGATCTCTCCTACCATTCAGATATCTTCTTGATGGATTTGTACGATGAGCATCAACTCATCATCTTTGGTGTACATTTTCATACTTATCAGGTCTTTCCCTGCATCAGTACTCACGACGATGACATGGGCACCTTTTCGATGAAATGCAAGCTTAGCCGGACCATACCCTTGTAAACGTTCCAGTTCAAACTTGTTCAGACGGTTGCCGTATTCACTGAAGTGTGAACACAAGAATCTTCTGTGTCCACCACCATAACACGGCCTTCATTAGCAACAGTGATATCCCGCGGATTCTTCAGTATTCCTTCTCCTTAACTGCAAACAAACTCTCCGTCGTTGCCATATTCCTCCATTGATGCAGGGGCTTTCAATGCCAGTATAGTCCATGTATCACTGACTGACAGTCCTATGCAGTCGACTTCTTCTTTCAGACAAAACCTGTAATAAAGATCAGCGGTGTTAGCAAGTCTTTTAACCCAGCAGGATTTCTCAGTCCCAGGCTTCTCCAGAGCAGTCAGCAGAAAGAAGTTGTCTTTCACGTCAATTGCTACGTCCCAAATATTTGATCGTGAATTTACATCATCGGTAGGGAGACTGGAATCCTTGTCAAACATTCAGCTGCTGTAAAACATCTTCACGTTACCACACGTATTTCCTACAATGAATTCCCCTGTGGAGTTTGTAACGATACTTACCCGGTACCTACGCCTCTGCTCCTCCTCACTCTCTTGACCAAATAATTATGGTGCAACGCAACAATGCTCCATGCCATGCCTACGCAGAACTTTGCTTACCCTTTCGTCTGACAATAATTATACCTTCTCTTTCCCACTGTCAACAACATGAGCAGAGCAGATGGAAAGAGATACACCTTGACCAGCTGCTACCGTGACATCGTAGATGACACCATGCACGTGACAGACAGTGGAAATGATTTGGTTTATTTTTTTCTCTACTGAAATGACTCAAGATGCCTTTCTTGAAATAAACATCAAAAATAGTTATAACGGCTGGCATAGAGTGTAAATAATCAATTCACAATTTGCATCGTATCAAAGCATCCGCGGAATGGTCCACATTTTCTAATACTGATATCATCAGTCGTTACCGCATTGCTCGAATGCAGTCAGACATTTCTAGAGCTTCATTGTTGAAGGGCAATGTTGCTTTTCTTTAAGAATCCCTTAATTCCCAACAATTGTTGCACTCAAGATTTCCGGCAGCACGTACGCGAGCATGAAGAACTATAAAATTTGGGGTAATGAGTTTGTTAACGTAAC